TCTTGTATCCTGAAACTTTGTTGAAATCTTCTATTAGTTCCAGTAGTTTTCTTGTGGATTCTTTGGGGTTTTCTGTGTATAAGATCATATCATACGCCAATAGAGATACTTTGACTTTTTCCCTACCAATTTGGATGCCCTTTATTTTTTTTCTAGCCTGATTGCTCTGGCTCGGACCTCCAGCACAGTGTTGAGTAAGAGTGGTGATAAAGAGTATCCTTGTCTGGTTCCCATTCTCAAGGGGAATGCTTTCAAAGTCTCTCCATTTATGATGAGGTTGGCTGTTGGCTTTGTATACATGCCCTTAATTGTACTGAGGAATTTCCCTTCTATTCCTATTTTGCTGAAAGTTTTTATCATCAGTAGGTGTTGGACTTTTTCAAATCCCTTTTCTGCATCAATTGATAAGACCATGTGGTTCTTGTCTTTTGTTTTATTTGTGTGATGGATTACATTGATTGTTTTTATAATGTTGAGCCATCCCTGCATACCTGGTATAAATCCCACTTGGTCATGGTGAATTATTTTTTTGATATGTTGCTGAAGTCTATTGGCTACAGTTTTGTTGAGGATGTTTGCGTCAATGTTCATGAGGGATATTGCTATGTAATTTTCTTTTTTTGTGGTGTCTTTACCTGGTTTTGGTATCAGGGTTTTGCTGGCTTCATAGAATGAATTTTGGAGTATTCCATCCTTTTTTGTGCTCTGAAATATCTTTAGTAGTAGTGGTGTTAACTCTTCTCTGAAAGTTTGATAAAATTCTCCAGTGAAGCCATCCGGGCCAGGGGTTTTTTTTGTTGGGAGTTTTTAAATTACCTTTTCAATCTCTTCTTTTGTTACGGGTTTATTTAGTTGTTCTACCTCTGTTTGTGTTAGTTTGGGTAGGTAGTGAGTTTCTAGAAATTTCTTCATTTCCTCTAGGTTTTGAAATTTGTTAGAGTACAATTTTTCATACTATTCCGTTGTGATTCTTTTAATTTCAGTTGGGTCTGTTGTGATATCACCCATCTCATTTCTTATAGAGGTTATCTGCTTCCTCTCTTGTTTTTCTTTTGTCAGTTTGGCCAGTGGTTTATCAATTTTGTTGATCGTTTCAGAGAACCAGCTTTTGGTCTTGTTGTTTTTCTATTCTCTATTTCATTTAATTCTGCTCTAATTCTTACTATTTCCTTTCTTCTGGCGCCTGAGGGCTTCTTTTGCTGCTCTCTTTCTGCTTGTCCCAGTTGTAGGGTTAATGTTTTGATTATGGCCCTTTCTTCCTTTTGGATGTGTGCATTTATTGCTATAAACTGACCTGTGAGCACTGCTTTTGCTGTTACCCAAAGGTTCTGGTAGGATGTGTTTTCATTCTTGTTTGATTCTGTGAATTTCTTTATTCCATCCTTAATTTCTTCTGTAACCCAGTAGTTTTTTAACAAGGTGTTGTTCTGTTGCCATGTGTTTAATTTTTTTTCCTTGTTTTTTCTGTTGTTGATTTCTACTTTTATGGTTTTTTGGTCAGAAAGGATGCTTTGTAATATTTCGATGCTTTGGATTTTGCTAAGGCTTGCTTTATGGCCTAATATGTGGTCTATTTTGGAGAATGTTCCATGTGTGTTGGAAAAGAAAGGCTGCTCTTGGGTGGAGTGTTTGGTATATATCTATGACATGCAGCATTTAGCTCTTCCATGTCTTTGTTGAGCTTCTTTCTGGATGTTCTGTCCTTCACCGCAAGTGGTGTGTTGAAGACTGCTACTGCTATTGTGGAGATGGCTATCTCTCTTTTCAATGCTGTTAGAGTTTGTTTTATGTATTTTGGAGCCCTGTCGTTGGATGCGTAAATATTTATTATAGTTATGTCCTCCTGGTGTATTGACCCTTTAATCATTATGTAGTACCTTCCTTATCCTTTGTGGTGGATTTCGCTTTAAAATCTGTTTTGTCAGAGGTTAATATTGCCTCTCCTACTCTTTTTTGAGTGTTGTTTGCTGGGTATATTTTTTCCATCCTTTCAGTTTTAGTTCGTGTCTTTAAGTCTAAGGTGTGTCTCTTGTAGGCAGCATATAGACAGATCATGTTTTTTTATCCAGTCTGCCACTGTCTATCTCTTTGTGGGTGCATTTAGTCCATTTACATTCAGCGTAATTATTGATAGGTATGAGTTTAGTGCTCTCATTTTGATGTCTTTTTGTGTGTGTTGTTCACAGTTTCTTTGTTCTGCTTAATTTTCTGTGCTGATTCATTTTTCTTTATATATTTTCTTTTCATCGTTGTTGATTTTGTGGTTGCTGAGTCTTTATATTTTTCTAGTTTTTTATTTTGACTTGTAGGATTGTTAGTTTTCTTTGTGGTTACCTTAATATTTATCCCTATTTTTCTAAGTTTATACCAGTCTTATTTCTTATATCACCTTGACTTTCTGGCCATATGAAAAATCTGTGTCTACATTTTTTAAGTCCTTCTTTTTTGTTATAATGTTGTCATCTTTTACATATTGACATCTATTTCCCTATTTTCAGTGTTTTAGCTTTGATTTACTTTTGTGACTTCCCTATCTGGGTTAATATCTGGTTGCTCTGTCCTGTGTTCTAGTCTTGGGTTGTTATCTGATGTTACTGATTTTCTAACCAGTGGACTCCCTTTAGTATTTCTCTTAATTTTGGTTTGGTTTTTGCAAATTCCCTAAACTTCTGTTTATTTGAAAATGCCGTAATTTTGCCATCATATTTGAGAGACAGTTTTGCTGGGTATATGATTCTTGGCTGGCAATTTTTTTCCTTCAGGGCTTTGTATATGTCATCCCATTGCCTTCTTGCCTGCATGGCTTCTGCTAAGTAGTCTGAGCTTATTCTTATTGACTCTCCTTCGTAGATGACTTTTCGTTTATCCCTAGCCGCACTTAAAATTCTCTCTTTATCTTTGGTTTTGACAAGTTTGATTATAATATGTCTTGGTGACTTTCTTTTGGGATCTACCTTACATGGGATTTGATGAGCATCTTGGATAGATGTCTTGTCATCTCTCACGATATCGGAAGTTTTCTGCCAACAAATATTCAACAATTCTCTCTGTATTTTCTGTTAACCCCCCCGTTCTCGTACTCCATTCACTTGATAGAGTCTCACATAATTCTTAGGGTTTCTTCATTTTTTTGTAATCCTTTTATCTGATTTTTCCTCAGATAAGTTGGTATCAAGTGCTTTATCTTCCATCTCACTAATTCTGACTTCTGTTGTCTCATTTCTGCTCCTATGACTTTAAATTGAGTTGTGTAATTCTGAAATTTGATTTCTAATCTTCTGGATTTCTGATTGCTGTCTCTGTATGGATTCTTGCAGCCTGTTAAAATTGTCATGCTCTTCTCTTATCTTTTTAATTTCCTCTATTGCGTGTTCTGTGTTTTGCTTAATTTCCTTCCTAATCTCTTAAAGAGTTTTATATATTAATCTTCTGTATTCTGCCTCCAGTAATTCCAAGAAATCTTCCTCCTCTGGAAAATTTCTAGATTCTTTATTTTGGGAGCTTGCTGAAGCCATCATGAATGGCCTCTTCATGTGATTTGATATTGACTGTTGTTTCCGAGCCATTAATAAGTTGGTATATTTATTTATTTTATGTTTCCTTACTGTGTCCTACCTTCTTGTTTTGTTTTGATATGCCCAAATATGCTGTTTGTATGAGCTGTTTTGATTATTGGCACCTTTGAAACTCTGATGTCCTGCCACCAGGTGGTTAGATCTGTTACTAGGTATGTGAGCTCAAGAGTCCGCCCACTCCTCCTGTGTGGATTCAGCTCAGGTGGCCAGGTAGATAGCCACCAAATGTGTGGTGTAGGCTCTCATAGTCCTAGACAAGCATGGGTGATTGGTGTAGGCATAGGCATCTAGCTGCAGCAGGGGGACACACTCTGAGCAAGGCAGGGGGCCGACGGCTGTCCCTGAGTATCCAGGAGGAAGGCAGTTCCCTGTTCCCTAGAGCGCGTAGGTGGGTGGGTTTTGCAGCTGGACTGTGAGCATCTAATGCTGTTGGCTGTAAGGACTAGGGGCACCTCTTATTCATGGGCCCCTGTCTCAGGTGGCTAGGTGGCATGGGTGGAGTCACCAGTCCTCAGGCCCCTGATGTGGGTAGGTGAAGACCCTGCTTAATGGGCAGAGCAGTGTCAAATGTCAAGAACCTGCCACTTCACGGCTGAAACAGTTGAAGTTTGACTTTCAGTATATTCCCTGTTGTACTGAGGTAATGAGGGCCTGTGCTGTTGAGATGGGCCCACACAAGTCTATGTAGGAGGAAAGGCACTCAAAGTCCGTGGATCCCTTGCACCTGTGCCTAGGCAAAGGCGCTATGCCTATCCTGGGTTCCTGGCTTATGGGAGCTGGCAGTTTATTTTTTCCCGTTTGTGAATTTGTTCACTCTCCAAGGCGGGAGAGTGGTTCAGGGCATGTGACAGATCCTACTTCTGGCCCAGCGGACTCGGCAATTGCTGAAGCTGGTCTGGGACCCAGTGCAGAGCAGGGAATTAAGAGGTAAATGGGAGAGGTTTTTCCCTAAGAGGGCTGTTTTTGATCCCCATGGTAGGCCATATGCAAGTACTTATCTCCTGCTGATTAGGGCTGCTTCTCACTGGTTCTTGGTGGCTGTGTAGACTCTCTGGCTCTGGGTCTCTCCTGGTGCGCAAAATGCACCTCCCGAGCCCGGCTGCTTGCCTGCCTCACCGCTCACCAATGAGCTGCTCAGGCCTGAAGGGCTCAGGCTCTTGCCAGGTCAGGTTTGGCAACTCCTTGGTGCTTCCGAACCGTCTCTCCCTTCCCTTGCCACTCAGAACGGTTCCCCAGCTCTGCCTTTGATGTTCAGGGCTCCCAGATTGCCATATGTAATCTAATCACTTGTTTTTTCGGGTCTTTGTTGTAAAAGGGTCCACCGGAAGCATCTGATTACTCTGCCATCTTGTCTTCTCCTCCAACCGAAAATATATTGAGCATTGTTCTTTGCACTGGTGCTATAGCCTTCTTAAAAAATACCTTCATCTCTAGTAAACCACCATTACATGCGCCACTAAGACCATATTCTAGCAAGAGTATAGTATAGCTTTGTTTATTGTATTGTTCTTTGCACACAAACATAAATGTTACTTGGTTGAATGTGTATTATTTGAATTTTTCAAACACTGGTTTAAATTTAATCCTTAAAGTCACACACATAAAATGTATAATTTAAGAACTTTTTAATTAGAAGAATCAGGATTTCTACCATTGAGAGCAAAGAAGACTTAGGGAATCCTGCTGACTTTCTCTAAAACTTTGAAGAGATTCAGGCCTTACAGTACTTTGAAGTTTTTGCCAGTATCATGAAGTTAAAAAGTGTGCTCTGCTATGCAGACCGTTCACTGCCTTATAGACCATTCACTGCTTTAGTATAGTGGCAGACATATCAGACATTCAGGGCCTTAAGTAAATGTTTACTTAGTAAATGATTAAGGATCAGTTTTATTAAATGGAGAGAGGAAGGGAATGAGGTGTAGTCTGGGACTTTTATAGATTTGTTGTAACTTTGTATATGTATTCAAAATTTGTTAAATTGTAACATGATTTTATAATCTAAATTGACTTGCAGAGAGGGCAAAAGGAAGTGGGGAAAGTCTAGGGAAGAGCTTCTAGGTTCACACTCTTCCATAACCTCTGTGGGGCTCTATTTTACCTAAGTTTTTTGTTTATTTGTTTTTTTGTTTTAATAGCCCAGGAGTTCTATTTCCAAAGAAAGAGCCAGAGGATTCTAGAGGTGAAGACGAAGATGAAGATGATTCATCAGAGGAAGACTCTGAGGATGAAGAGCCGCCTCCTAAGAGAAGGTGTGGAAGTGTGAATAACTTCTTGTGGGGAGGGTGATGAGTATTGTAGAACTGGAAAGAGTACTACTAATAGGAGAGGCTGAAGATAGAAGAGTGTTTTTAACAGCTTAGGATCTTAAGTTCTTTGCTTGACATTTGAACTTCTCTTCTTCCTTGAAGATTCAGAGACTCTGAATTTAAGAAGTGCTGTGAACATGTAATTAACTCTTTGGTCAAACCTATCTATATCCAGTTCGGGCATTCAAAGAAGAATAGTCCTATACTTTCCTGGAAGGAACATCATGGAATTGTGTAGACTTCCATGAATTGGTTGAATTTTTATACAACTTTAGTACATCCACTAGTTAAAAAATATTAAATCACATTCCTGTTCTTAACATTGGTGACTTCTGCCTGTGCCATTTATTTTTGACAGAGCATCTGGTTTTCCTTGTAAAGTGAATCTCTTATGTACTAAGTAGTTGCCTTTCCTCTTCGGTTCTCACAGGTTGCAGAAGAAAACCCCAGCCAAGTCCCCAGGGAAGACAGCATCCATGAAGCAGAGAGGATCCAAACCCACAGTTAAAGTCCCTGCTGCCCAGAGGGGGAAAGCTAGGCTCCTGCCCAAGAAAGCGCCTCCCAAGGCCAAAACTCCTGCCAAGAAAGCCAGACCCACACCGTTGGTCATCAAGAAACCTAGTGGTAGCTCTTCAAAGAAGCCAGCAGCCACTGTGAGAAAGGAAGTGAAATTGCCTGGCAAGGGCAAATCCACCATGAAGAAGTCTTTCAAAGCAAAAAAGTAAATATATAGGAAAAGAGGGTATCATGATTAAATGCAAAATCTTATTTTCTAAGGTCAGTGTGCATTTGTTTTAGTTTTGATGCTTATAAAATTACTTTTTTTTTTTCTCCCCTATGAACATTGTGGGGAGGGAATATAAATAAACCAACGTAGACATTTGTTAGCTTTAGGTGCTGTTCTTGGTGCCTGCCCCTCCCCTCAGCCATTTTAATCTCTGCAATAATCCTGGACTTCCCTAAACTATATTTATCCCTTTTCCTCTCCATACCTTATCCCTCTTTCTTTTTTTATGGTCAGCTTTGGCTTTTTTTCCCTCCCCCTTCCAGTTTTATCTAAACAGTTGCAAAGATTTTTATATTTGTAGAAAGCATCAAGAACAGGATGCTGGTCAGGTGCTAGAAGTAAAAAGAAGGCAGTGCAGCCCTGACTAAATAGTAAAACCTCCTTCCTGGACACTTCAGTTATAGCTGTAGTAATTGATCTTATTTATAAAACCACTCCACTAACTTCTTTTCTCCAACTGTTAACACAGATACAGCTTTGAGAATAAGCCAAAACCGTGATCTCATTAGATTCTGAAGATGTAGGACTCCTTGGGCTACTTTCACATTGATCAATTTCCAGATGTTGTTCTCTGGCCCAGGGCTCTGCACTCATTCCCTTAACAGCACGCACACGTTCTCACCACCACTTGGTTTTTGACTGAAGGGAAGTATAGGACTATATTGAATCTGATTTCTCGTGTCACCTGTTACCAAAAATTGAAACATAGAAAATCTTCTTGATCAAATGTTTAAATATATTTTTTAATATTTGGAGCATGAATTGTCACTTCCTGTTTGCCTTTTTTATAAGGAAATGTTGGAGAGTTACATTGTTGTAATGTAGAGTTAAGTGGAAAACATACAATTTGCTAAAATAAACTAGATTCTAGATTCATCTGTGGATTTTTCCTTTCCCTCCTTTCCTTCCACAGCACTTTTGATATCAAGCAAGTGGCTTCCTTTTGAGATTAAAAAAAAGAAAAAAAAAAAAAAGAATGAAGCCCGACTACCTAACTCTTTCTTACTTGTATTTGTTTTGGTATTGTGAAGTTGTGTTAAATAGTATTAGCTTTCTACTTGAAATATCAATTTCTGGTTATCATTTATTTTCCCTGTGGCACTTGACATTTTAATTGTCTTAAACTTTTTGGTGTACATCTTCTGGTCCCTTGAGTGCTGCCAGAGACTAAAAATGTTTGTTTCATATTCATTCCACTTGCATTGTCTTCTGGGATCCCTTCTGCAGCCTAAGCTATGGCTGGGAAATGGACTTGAGAAGATTGGCTTGAATTAGATCCATAATCATGTGTGATCCCATCATGAGTTCATTGGAATTTGTGTTGCATGTAAGGCAATCTTCCCTGTTGTAAATCTTCCTTTTTTTATGTACATATATTTTGAAAAATATGAATAAACATGAAATTTTAAAAGCTGCTGAACTGTAGCTTATATTTAAAAGTTTCTAGTTTGTCCTGAGAAGTAGCCAAGTGTTACCCCCACTTTGAATCTTTTCTATTCCTTGCAATAGTTTCCATCCGTTTCCTTTTTAAATACAAGCTCCAGTTTATTTGCTTTTGAATTCTTAGTGGTAAATGATGTTTCCAGATACATTGAATGCTGATTATTTAATGAGTCAAAGGTTTAAAAAATAAGTTTGCATTTTATTAAGGACTGTATTCAAGAGCATAGACCTTAGTTTTTCGTGACCTTAATGTTCTTGGACTAGAAAAAAGTACAGCATGGTAAAGATTTAACGTATTAACTGTAAAGTCTGTATCGATTCTGGAAAGTAATTCTAATTTGTGCTGTTTGGCAAGCAGTAGTTTCTAATACTGTGGGTGTTTAGAATTCTATACTCTTCTGAATCGAAAGTTGGAAGATTTGGGTTGGTTTCTTTGTTTTATGCTATTGCTCTTGAAAAGATTTATGTAACAATCATCTGGTGGCTGTATTATAATCGGGAGCTCAAGCGTAGTAAGAAGTTTAGACTAAATCATTTAAAGTCCTTTCCAACTCTGATACTCTAGTAACTTCACAGAGTTGAGATAATTTTTACTTCATGTTGCAGAAAAGAGAACCGCAAACCCAAGAGGTAATCCTAGCAATCTTTAACATGGATCAGTGGCTTCAGTACTCTCTGTTCATCGCGTAGTGAGCTCAATGACAGTGTTTCACATAGTTTGTGAAACTACATACAAGCTACCTTTGATAAATTCATTAAGTTCTGGGAGTGAGATTGTCAACTTCTTAACCTACAAAATAGGAGAGAGAAGTTAACCATTGTAGAGAAATGTGGAGACCTTTCCTTAGCAATAAAACAAAAGCGTTCAACACAGAACCTGGTTCTAACCATCCACAAGGACTTAATTAAAGGAATCCTGGCCCAGTATAAATTTTAGAAAACAGATACGTGTTTTAATCATGTCTTTTGGGTATAATTAACAGGAAAATTAGATGAAAATAGGAGCTAAACAGTATGCCACATGCCTTTGATTTTTTTTTCCATCACTCTTCTTTTACTATATTTTGTTAGCCTTAGTCTGGGTTTGCTAACTTATTCTTACAAGAGACTATGAAGTTATTCTTGTTTAGGCTGAGATACTCTTGCCATCCTGATATGTTTGGAGAAAGAGCCTTGTGCATTAACTGCTGCATTTAACTAAGAAGAAATTTAAAAATTTAGGATTATACTTCAGGTTTTCCATTTTAGGAACCTGAGAAAAATTACTTTGTCTCTCTTTGGATTAAGCAAATTTTCTAATTTTACCTATGAAAGAAGAGAAATTCTATTCTTAATTGGAAAAAGACCATTATTAAACTATTTCCTGAGAGGTTGTGATTGAAGTTATTTTCTAGCATGTAGAGTTGCTTTTGTGTTTTCATGGTGGAACACATGGTCACTCACTTCTGCAGATCTAGAGCTAAAGAAGCAGACTATTGAAGCTCTTGGCCTAGGAACCACTTAACAAAGATTTGCTTAGAAACCATTACAAGATTGCTAAACTATACCCCTCATCAGCTGCATGGAGTTTTCCTTTTTTAAGAAACGAATCTCTGCCATCTTTATTACTATATTCTTTCCTTTTTCCAGTCATTTTCCCAAAGATTCTTTAGTGGCTTTTTTCTTCTGGAAAAATTTTCTACCTTAATTATTTAAATTTATCAACTTAGTTTTGACTGGGGTTTTAATTGTTCCTAATTTGTTTTGTCAGCAACTGTTATGTCAGAGGAGACTTAAAAAGATGCCTTCGCAAGCCATTTTCCTCAAAAATTTGAACTGTCTTTCTCTTAATGTTGTATATAAATGTGTAACTAACATTAGTTATTAATCTTTGGTTAGCAAAGAAACTTTTTTTATGGTGGCTGAGTATCTATGATAAGGTGTGTTTATAAGTGGCTCATTACCATAAATAATAATAGTGATAAAATAATAGTGTCTTAGTTTTCTAATGCTGCTGTAACAAATACCACAAGTGAGTGACTATTAAAGAACAAAAAATTTTTTTCTCACAGTTCAGGAGGCTAAAAGTCCAAATTCAGCATGTGGCTCTAGGGGAAGATCCTTGTCTCTTGCAGTGTCTAGTCCGGAATTGTAGCCCTGGCTTTCCTCAGTTCCTTGATAAGCCTCACGTGGCATCTGTCTTTCCCCTCATATGTGCTCTATTCTGTGTCTAATCTGCTCTTTTTATAACTCAGAAGTGTTTAGGTTTATGACAAACCCTACACTGATACGGTCTCATTAACATAGTAAAACTTTATTCCCAAATGAGAACTACATCCACAAGTATCCCATGCCATCAAGTCAATTCCGACCCATAGTGACCCTATAGGACAAAGTAGAGCTGCCCCATAGTGTTTCCAAGGAGCTGATGGTGGATTCAAACTGCCAGCCTTTTGGTTACCAGCCGATCTCTTAACCACTGCACCACCAGGGCTCCCCATGACAAATAGCTAACACTAATTTTCTTCCATATTCCAAGTTGTGTGTATAATAATCGGATTTAATCCTAGAAACTCTATGAGATGGTCATTGTTTATTACCCCCATTTTACAGAAGGGCAACAGGCACATAGTGAGATTCAGTAGCTTGCTCCAGGTCCTAGTAAGCAGCAAAGCCTAAATTAAAAACCACACACTGAATACAGAACCGTTTCTAACTGTTCTGTGTGATTGTCTCCCTTGCCAATTTTTCAAGCTTCTGAACTCTCTCCTTGTCCTACAACCCAGTGACTCCATATTTTACTCGTGGAAGAAAAAGGACTTAAGACGGCAGAGCACTTGGGATGAGATGAAATTATTAAGTCACTTCACTAATAGCTGTCACTGTGGCTTCTATTTTAAGAAAGAGGTTTGATAACTGTTAAAATCAGACTTTGGATTACTGGGAAATTTTATCTAGGCTGTGCTAAGTTTTTTTTTTCTTTTTTTTTTTTTAAGGACACTGTACAGGTACTTGGACGTTCTCAAATCCTAGCCATTGGAAACTTCCTGGTTTCCTCACAATTTCCCTATTACAGGCAGGAGCCCCAGCTTCTGTCAGAACATTGATGTTGCTAAGTGAGAAGCTTTCTTTCTCTATAAACTGTGAATTTGTATTCCATGAGGCCCACCAAGGAAATTCTAGAATGACAGTTTTCTCGGACAGCTGAGTTTTTTAGACATGATACCTGCTTAGTAATCATGAGCTATAATGTTAGAAATCCTTTCTCTTATAATTCTGAAAGAAACCTTATTCATCTAGTCTGTCCTGCTGTCTTTGGTCAGATTTGTTTATCCAATACCAGCAGATATTCTTTTCTTTCCTAAACCCAGAGAGTTTCACATCCTTGGTCATCCATTTTATTGCTTAAGAACTTATACACTGATGAAATTCTTCTCATATCAAACCTAAATCCTTTATATTACCTGTTGTGTGACTCAAATTTGCTGGTGTATAGAATAAGAAATTTTCATCAGTCCCAAATTGAGATTGACTCCTATTAACATCACTCAACCCAGTATCCTAACAACTGTAGCTGTGGTCCTGCACAGTGGTCCTTGGGAGCTGTGTCATGTACCAGCTGTGGGACTCTGGGCAAGCCACTTAATCTCTGAGCCTTAATAGTCTCATCTGTAAAATAAAGACATTGGAGTTCACAGTCATTGCTATGAATTGAATTGTGTCCCCCCAAAATGTTGTTAGGTGGTGTCAGGTTGATTCCGACTCATAGCGACCTTATGTACAACAGAACGAAACACTGCCTGGTCCTGCGCCATCCTCAAAATATTGTTATGTTTGAGCTCATTGTAGCAGTCACGGTGTCCATCTCGTTGAGAGTCTTCTGTTTTACGTTGACCCTCTACTTTGCCAAGCATGATGTCCTCCAGGGACTCGTCCCTCCTGATAACATGTCCAAAGTACGTGAGATGAAGTCTCGCCATCCTTGCTTCTAAGGAGCATTCTAGTTGTACTTCTTCCAAGATAGATTTGTTCATTCTTCTGGCAGTCCATGGTATATTCAGTATTCTTTGCCAGCACCATAATTCAAAGGCATCAATTCTTCTTCGGTCTTTCTTACTCATTGTCCAGCTTTCACATGCGTATGAAGCAAGTGAAAATACCATGGCTTGGGTCAGGCTCACTGTAGTCCCCAAAGTGACATTTTTGCATATTAACACTTTAAAGAGGTCTTTTGCATTAGATTTGCCCAATGCAAAACGTCGTTTGATTTCTTGAGTGCTGCTTCCATGAGCGTTGATTGTGGATCCAAGTAAAATGAAATCCTTGACAACTTCAGTATTCTCTCTGTTTATCAAAAATATGTGTTGTAAATCCTAACATCTATACTTACCAAAGAAAGATTAAACTATATTCACTACACTACAGTTACTAAGGCATTTTATAATTTTAGGAAAAACTTAAAGAATAAATAAATTAACCAGACTATCCAGTTTCACAAGAGTTCAGTGTTGTTTAAATTATCATTCATGGTAGGCACTTTAATCACACTATCTCAAATTCTTATATTCTCAGAGATATGTGAAATTATCCCCAATTTTCAGAGACCAATAGATCTAGTTAATTTTCCCAAAATTAAGTAGTAAGTAAGTAGTGGAGTTAGACCTAAATGCAGGTTTAATTGACTCATCTTTCCTCTATACCTCAGTAGTTTTGTACACTGATACCTCAGGTAAGCACATCCTCTGGCAATGAGTTACAAGAGAATCGTACTATAAGATTAATGGACAGCTGTTAGCAAATTTCAAAAGTGAGTTTTTAAGCTTTTAGGAACATGTTAACTTGTTACAAGATGAGCGAAAAGAAAAAAGTGTATACAGCCTTGAGCTTCAATGGCCAGGGAGCAAGGGAGAAAAGAAGCCAGGTGGGCAAGAGGTGTGTGTGAGTCCCTTCTCAGCTGCAGCCACCAGAGCCATCAGCTGCCACCTGGGTCAC